AGGAGAGAGGGAGAGGGAGAGAGAGAGAGGGAGATCACGTATGCTGAGGGGGGGGGGGAGGTTAGGAGAGGGGCGGTCTGTACTCGCGTGTTGGTTGGGTGACTGCGGGCTGGCCGACCGGGCCTTATTGGCTCATTTGTGTTATGAGGAAGCCGGGCCTCTTCATACGCCGTGCGTGAGCGTGTGTGTGAGAGAGAAAGAGAGAGAGAGAGACGACGTGCGTGGCTATTACTGGACAGTAGACATAACAATAGCGCGCCCAGGAGCGCCGCGCATCCTCACAAACACGCCGGACCACAGTGCCCCGGGAGTTCAGCCGGGTTCAACATTCTTCTTGTATGGATTCTTCGCGCGTGTGTGTGTGCTTGCCGCAGGTTTGTTTTAACTCTTGGACCCTCTGTTGCAGACGCCTCGACGCTGTACTGGACGGTGGACGAGGACTGGGGCGGCGCCCCGATGTACCCGCCCATCGTGAACGTGGCGCCGCACGGTCGCATCGCGGCCAACGCGACGTGCGGCGAGCGCGGCGAGGAGCGCTGGTGCAAGGGCGGCGGCGCGGGGCTCGGGGCGCCCGGGGGCGGCGCCGGGGGCGGGCCGCGCCGGGGGCAGCAGTGCTCCGTGTGCCAGCGCCACCACCCGGACAAGGCGCACCCCGCCGAGCTCGCCCTGGACGCGGGCTCGGACGGCTGGTGGCAGTCGCCCACCCTGGCCGAGGGCCCCCAGTTCGAGCACGTGACCGTCACGCTGGACCTGCTGCAGGTGAGTGTTGTATAATGCTGCGGACTTCACCATCTTCATCGCTCGACAGTTTCACCCGTTCGGCTCTTTTTCTCCTCATTCTCATAATCTACTGGCGAGTTTGTTTTTCTCCCCCGTTGTGCTGCTGCTTCCCCCGCGCGCGTGACTCACGCTGGCACAGCCTTGACCTTGGTCGATGTGGACCGGAGTGTTGGATCAGAGTGGTGCTGCGGTGCACATGTAAATGACTATCGCTCCTTCTCCTTTCACTGGCGCGGCTGCGCGGGCTGCGCGGCTGGCGGCGGCGCGGCGGCGTGGGCGAACCAGAATGGATGCTCAATGGATGCTGGCGTACGTGTCGCGAGCGGCGGTGGAACTCGTCGAGCGCGGGGGGAAAGGCCGAAACACTGTCAACAAAAAGAACACGCATTTCGGGGAATAGACGCGAGGGACAAAGAAGCGCGAAGCAGCAGCAGCAGTCTCACATGACGCTCGCACTGGTGCGTGGGTGGGCGGGCGCCTCGGCGGGCCCACAGGAAGCCGTGCCCTGTCTCTGCCGTCGCCCGACGCACCGCCGCGAACCATAACGCCGTTTAGTCACGGCCGCGACTTTGCCAAAAGTCTGCGTTTGCCCTGCTGCAGGGGTAATACAAGTTCCATTATTTTAAATGAAAAGTTTTGAGCAGAGCACCCGGACCACCGCCTGCTCTGCTGCTCGGCACTTTGACAGGATGAGGTTGCCGCGTGTGGTGACGCACCATCCCCGTTGTGGTCAGGAAACTGGAGCCCGTCGCGGTGGCGCGGCGGCCGGCTCTCTGGGGCCCGCCTGGACAGCGCCTGGAACCTGCTGCGACCATAGCGCCGAGGTGCTGGACGGGGAACAAGGGCTCTCCCCGGCGCTCCCCCGGACAAAGGACTGCCCCAATAACCCTCTCAGAATCAGTTGTTGTCCAGGGCAGCACCGGCCCGTGACTCATTCTCCTGGAGAGGTCTCTGCTGGAGGCCAGGCGGCTGGGACGGAAGGCAGGCCTAGAGGCTGTGGCCTGAAGGCTGGCGAGGCTGGCCTGGAGGCTGCTGGCGGCTGTTGCCGGAGGCCGGACCAGAAACCCTCTCGGCGGGCGCGTGGTTGCCTGCGTTTAGCATATGGCGCCCCCTCGTAGATAAGCCCCTCCCCTTCCTGTTTTACGACGGCTCCGTTGGAAGTGTCCTGGAAGTGTCCTGGAAGTGGTCCAGGCGCTGTAAACTGATAACGCCTCGAACATGTTGGAAAGTCTGGCGAGCACGGGGGAGATGTAGGCCGCGCGAGTGGCGATGGGCGGGTTGGCGGGCGCGGGGCGCTGGGGCGCGGGGCGCGTGTCCGCGAGGCTCTCCTTCGCCCTCCCGCCGGAGGCCCCGACTTGTCCCCCGCGGCATGCGCATGCGCGCCGCCCTGATGGCCAGTGACGAAACGCGCCGTGGCGACTGTGAATGTCCTTTGCCTTCTTTACGAGCGGCTGTCAGCGCTTCTGATTTACCTCGGGGGGCCCGTCCCCGAGCGCTGTGGCGTGGCCGCGCCCGAAGGGGGCCGTGCCGAAAGCACCTCGGGCACAATGCCGGGCGGGAGCGCCAGCGCGCGCGCACCCCCCGCGGGGGCGCGGGCAACGTGTCCAATCGCGGCTGATGACTCGCGCCCCCTCGCCGAGATCGATGCGTTTCGATACCTCGTTTTGTTTTGAGTCGGGGCCGACGTGACAGACAAGCGGTGGCGTGGCAACACAGCTGAGAAGTAGAACACGCGCGCGAATTCTCGTGAATGAATACGGGCAAACACAATTCAATTTATTCTATATATTTTTTCACAGTTTTATTTTTCTACATTCATGAGAAATATTTATTGCCGTGTACCCAGTGCACCTGACTCAGCCCGAGCAGCAATAAAGGACTCTCGGCGCGGTGATGCTGCAAAGCCCGGCAAAGCCGCTCCATTTTATTCGGCACGGGACCTGGCCCGGGCCGGGGCCCGCAGCCGTATGATCAAGGTGTGAAAGGACTCTGCAAAAATAGTATGATTAAGGAAAACCTTTTGTAGAATGTAAATCTCGGCGTAAACGATTCTTTGGATTTCACCCGTGTTTTCCCATAGAGTTTCTGTTTGATTTACTTACACCCGTTTGGTCCATAAAGCGTTCCAAGATTTAATGAACGCCCACTTTTGGACCACCATATTGCAGCGCAAAGCATGGGCAAAATTAGTTGAGCTGTAATGAGCTGCGATAAGGAGTGTAGGACCTCCTGTGGGGCCCTGTGTGTGATAACAGGGGTCGGCGGGGGCGGGGGGCGGGCCAGCCGTGGCGAGGGACCCGGGGGGACACAGGGCCCTTTGTTGTGTGCACGAGCACCTGAGCACTATCTTCATCATCGTAATCCTTTGCTCTTTGCTGGTCCTTGTCCTCCTCGACTTTCCTACTCCCGTGCTTCTGCGCACTTTCAGCTCGACACGCCGCCAGCTCAGACTCCAGCTCCAGCAGCGTCTCGACCGTAGTCTCCCACGGCGCCCTCCTCTTCCTCTCCCGCCCCATCGCCGACGTGCATGTAGCTTGTGCTCCTCCCAGTTTGCCCCCCTTGTCCAGAAACCCAACCCGATCCAAACATTTTGACTCCTCTCGCCTAACTAGGTGCGCTCAGCGTGGAGGAGGTGGTCGGCCCCATGACAGCTGTTCTCTTTAACACCTCCCTCCACGACGCCCCGCCACGCCACGCCACGCCGCACCACGCCCCTTGGGAGGTGAGTGGAGGTGAGGTCCTCAGCCTACATAATTCTCGAATCTCGTTCCTCCTTTTATCCGGTCGCGCTGAGCAGCAAGTCCTTTCTTTATCCCTTTTATCGTTATTATTCATGTTTCCCCCCTTCCCTTTTCTCGAAAACTCCCCCCCCCCCCTCGTCGCTGGAGAGTCTTGTATTACACATGCTGGGCGCGGTCCGGCCCGGCGGTCACAGTTCCGAACGTTTCGAAGCTCACTCGTTGTCAATGTTACGCCGTCATCGTCTGCGTCCGCGGGGCGGGAGCCTCAGGGAGGGGCGGGGGGAGGCCGAGTGGGTGGCCCCGAGGCCCTGCCCGGCGCGCCACCACAAAAGGGAAGCGGGAGGAGAGCAGGGAGTTAGAAATAGAGAACAGTTAAGGGCCACGACCCTACGGCACTCACAATACATGCATAATGTCTGTCTCGAATCTGGATTTCGCAGGCCCGTTTGTGTGTTCGAAACGATTTGTACCGCCGTCGCCCGCGCCGCCGCCGGCCCCATCAGGCCGTGTGGCTGTTGTTGCATCTGGGTGTGGCCGGCCGTCGTATGGGGCAGTCCGGCCAGAGCAGCGCGTTAGTATGCGGTCCGCACGCCGCCTGCGCCTCAAAGCGCCGCCCGCCCCCCTCTCCCACAGAGACCTGCGCTTCTTCTCCTCCAGCAGCAGCAGCAGCAGCAGCAGCAGCAGCAGCAGCAGCAGCAGCAGCAAGGGCCATTGGCGGCACACCGGCCGGGCCGGCCTAACACTCCCGCCCCACCCCGCCCCACCCCGCCCAGCGCGGTGTTTAGACACACGACAAAATGCCTCATGTTCATGACACCGCGCCGACAGCCGCCTCTCACCCGCCGCCGATGCTGCCGCGCACCAAATTGTCGTTTTTCTTGTTCCTTTATTTTGGTCGAAGAATGTATGAGATTTTTGTGAGTCTGTTGTTGTCTGATTATCAGGCGTCAGGCTGCGGTTGTCGTCCGATCAATCAGAGAGAGAATTTGAATTGGGAAATGGAGGAGGGGGATGTGAGTGTGTGTGTGCGTGTATCGTTGGGACAAGCCCATTCTCCCCTTGTTTGCCGCAAGGATTAGACATCGCAGCTCACTATCCCGCTCTCCCTGTCTCCCTCCCGCTCGTGGCACGGATATACACCGGGGACGAGGGTCCGCGGCAGGATCGCAGTGCGATCGAGGAATCGATTTGTTGCGCCTCGGACGAAAGATTTCAGGAGGCGATATTCCGAGAGGCGCCTTGTCACGTTTCCCACCTGACGGTGAGCTCTTCATCACGAAGCGCCCCCCCCCCCCTTCCCCCCTCTCCATCTGGGTTGGGACAAGAGAGGCTGCAAAACTGTTTCGGTAGAGGCGGCCGCTGGTCAGTGAATGGACCATGGTGTGGATCTTGTGGACCAGGGCGCCTGTCCCGACCCGGCTTGCCCGGCCTACCGATACAGTCCAGAGCCTCGTACCGTTCCCTTTCCGAGTTTAGTGGGATGGTTACTGCCTGCCCTAAAGTCCGACCCGCCCGGACCGCTAAGGCGCGTCGGTAGCTCCCCGTGACGGCCTAAAATTGTACGACCTCTCAGGAGGAAACCCGAGAAACTTTCAAGGGAAGGGAATAAAAACTGAGGAGTACTTCCAGAGATTGCCTCATCTCAATGCATACTCGTGGGCTGTCTCCCATGTCGCAGTAAAGAAAATTAAACTCAGCCCCTCAAAAAGTTTTAGTCGTTTAACCCAATTTTGTGGGACGTGGTGCTGAAAACCCCCTCTTTCCGTTCCAAGGACTGTACTTCATGCATGTGTGTGTGCGAGTTGCCTGCTCGGTGTCATGCAGGGGCGTTGGTCAGAGACGACAGACAGGCAAGGCAAACCCCGGCGACGTCTGCTTGCGATGTATATAAGCACAAGTTATGGAAGTAGATGCGGCTTTTCAGCTTATATTACAGGGATCATTACACTACAGAGAACTTAAGATCATCCTCCATTTTCGAGCACGCAAGATATTGGTGAAATCAATCAGTAAACACAAATGTAAACGTGATTTCTTTTTCCAGTGCACGCGTTCGACTACCGATAAAGCGTTTGCCCCTTCCTCTCTTTCCCTTTTCCGGGCGGCGCAGGGCTGCAGCCCACAGGGCGGCCCAACAGGTGGGCGTGTCGGGCGGCGCGCACCAACTACTGCTATTACTCGGCTTGATCGCCCAAATTACCTCGATTCGCCGCGTGATGGGTCGGACCCCACGTGCCG